TCTTTATTTTTAAAGCATGCGTAACGACATTATGTGATTGATGGATAGGGTAAAAAATAAAAATAAAAAAATAATCTGTTTTTAAATTAAATATTTTTCAGCTTAAAATTTGTCGATGCATATATAATAAAATAATTTGTGAGTTTGGAAATCTTAAATTTCATTCATTTAAGTAAACGAGTTTATTTTATAGTGCATCCATGCGGAAAACCGCACTGATGCTACGCTAGTCATATATTAAATACTTCACATTTAGAATCATATTTCAGACGACACGTGCATATAATAAATTTTGTTAGCCAGAAGCAATTGTATTTGAAGTTTCCATCTTCTCTTCATGTTCTTAATTTTGTTCTTTTAATAAATAACTAAACAAAATATATCTCTTTATTATTTTGCAATATAAGACAAAATAATGCAATTCCAAAGGTTGGATTGTACAAAGAACATACATTTAAAATTTGAAGGACTTAAATTTTCTCGCATGATGGTTTTCATGTCAATCATTTTCCTTCAATTTATATGGTGATCTTCCTTTCCAGTGTTATTATTCATTGTTGCTGCCTGCTAATTAGGGGTATAAATGAGTCAGGTTAGGCTTTCCTGGCTTAAGCCTACGTAAAAAAATATTCAGCCTATCTGCCTATTGGCCTATTAAAGGCTTTGTTTATAGGCCAGACCTGGCTTATTTTACAAAAGGGAAAAGTTCACCAATGCCTCTGTGATTTTTTTCTTATCACATATGCCTCTGTGGTTTGTAAAAAGGTATGTTTTTTTATCGCATATGCCCCTGTGGTTTTTTATTTTTTACAAAGCACACGAGTATATGTGATAAAAAAAAACCACAGGGACATAGATGATTTTGAAGCAAACCACATGGCATTGGTGAACTTTTCCCTTTTAAAAAATAGAAAGTCTGATATAGCCTACAGGCCTTGTAGGCCTCCCACCGTAGATACTAAGCAAAAAAAATAATTATGTAGTATATAGAGTAAAGAAAGTTTCATTCATGCATGCACTAATACTTCTCATAAGAAATAAAAAATGTTAAATAAGAAAGAGTCAACATAATACCCCAGCTCTAGAATGTATATCAGGGAGGAATTAGAGTCAAAGAAATGAGAAAAATCAAGAAAGAAATACAATTATTGGGTCAGCCAAAGACGAAACTTAGAGACGAGAGTGAAAAATCACCTAGAAGCAGCGGTGCTCAAAAGAAATTAGGGTTGATACTTTGCCACCTAGAATAAATATATTATATTATTTAAAAAAATTTAAATAGGCCAGCCTACGAGGCTTTAGGCCAGGCTTGACAAAGATGGTCTATGGCTTATTTGTTAAAAGACTTTCTTATAAACCTTAGCCTATACTATTTTGCAGAAAGGCCAGGTCAGACCAGGCTCAACATAGGTCGGGCTGTAGGTCAGGCTAAGGCTAGTCAGGCCCATTTACACCCTTACTGGCTACTCCTAATGTTTTGGGAGGAATTCTTCCTGCAGCTAGACCAATAGTCAGCAACCAGCTTAGAGAATGAAGAATTGGTTTCCATTAGCTTTGAAGGCTCATCATATTCCAACATTTTCCCTTTATTCACCGGCCAAAAAAAAATGAGGAAAGACACAGAATTAGACAAAGAAGTAGTGTATTTGACAAAAAGGAAAAAATTGAAAAGAAGAAGTAATTAACATACCATAAGACAGGACCATGACCATGTCACTATCTATTACAGTTGGAACTCTATGAGCCACGGTTATAACTGTGCATTGTGCAAATTCTTGTCTAATTATTCTTTGTAGAATAGCATCTGTGGCAGAGTCAATGGAGGCAGTAGCTTCATCCAGAACAAGAATTCTGTTCCTCTTAAGTAGTACTCTTCCAAGACAAAACAGTTGGCGTTGTCCCAAGCTCCAATTTCCACCTTCATCACTCACTGTAATTAAAACTAGTCAGAACTAAACTTCAATAGCTAATTTGTTCCAAAATCTTGATATTGAAATAGCTAATTTTGTATTTAGGTTCAATAGCCAGAAGTTACTGCTATATCAGATTTGTTGCGTAAAGTTTGTGAAGTTAGCTCACCTGAAGAGTCCAAGAGACTTGGTAGACTGCTAATTGTTTCCTTAAGCTGACATTTCTCTAAAGCCTGTATACAAATATTGAATCTAATCAAAACTTTGCATATTGAAAAACTCATGTAGAAGAAAATGGTATTCAAATGTAACATAATTTTCAATTGGGGGGCTAGTTCATTCACCTTCCATATTTCATCATCTGAGTACAGGCCTAGAGGGTCCAAGTTGGTTCTAATGCTGCCCTTGAAAAGAGTTGGTTCTTGAGGTATGATGCTTAGATTTGTTCTCAAATCCTTCAACCCCATTGAGCCTATGTTAATCCCATCTATAAGAATATCACCTCTTGCAGGCTCAACTAAGCGAAACAAAGCACTTATAAGGGTACTTTTTCCACTTCCAGTCCTTCCTACAACTCCCACTCTACTCCCTTCTTTGAATGTACAAGTGATACCCTTAAGAACTAATGGAGCATTTGGACGATATCTAATCTGAAAACATGTAGAAAAACAGTTATCAGACTAATTTTTCTGTCCAATTTGTCAGAAATAAAAAAAGTTGAGGTGAAAAAAAGACAAAGATGTAACTTTACCTCTAAGGCTTGAAGATCAATCCTACCCTTAGAAGGCCATGAAGATGGAGGCCTTTTATCCTCCACAATGGCAGGTGGCTCGGCTGGTATGTTAATGAATTGTTTGATTCTTTCAACTGAGATAATATAGTTTGAGAAGTTGCAAAACCATCTAGTCCAAAATACTTGGGATGCTGTCAATGTGAAAGCATAAGAAAGAGAAAGTCCTACAAGGCCTGCACAGACAAGGAGAATTGCCAAGAACTATTAGCATGAACAAAAGCTTTGCCATGGTAACCTTTTATGTAATATTACCTGGGGACACGTATCCCTGAGGGAGTAGAATAATTAACAAAGCTGCAGTGAAGACTGTCAAATTTTGAAGTACTTCAATTCTTAAAATTAACCATTCCATGGTCACATTAGAATGAAAGAACAGTGCTGCATCTGTGTCCACCAGCTTTAGGTAATTTTTGAAAAATCTGTCCACCATGTTGAATGCTCTTACAGTAACCACTCCAAGTGATGTCTCAGCTGCAAAATTCATGACTGGAGCTTTTGTGGTTCCATTGATCCTTATTAGTTCCCTTGCAGAGGCTTGATAATATCCCTTTTAGAGAAAAATAAGAGAGAGAGGGAGAGAGACTAAGAACTTGCTAGCTCCATGATCTAAGCAGGGATGGAGAATGGAAAATCAAGAAAAATCAGAAAGTGGACAAACCTGAATATATTTTGATGCAATCATTGCAGGAACAGCAACAATGAGAACTTGCCATGTGACTGAAACCATTACACAAATTGTCACCAGAATTTCAATTGCCACAGACAATACAAAAGTCATGGAATAAGGTATATCAAAGTCCAAAATACTCAAATCTGAAGAAGCCTGCAAGAGAGGAAAAAATTGACATAAATATGGGGGATGATTAAATAGTAATGAATATGAGAAGGAAATTATATAGGTTCTTTTATTTTTTTTCCCAGTGGGAGTGAAGAAATCTTACTCGGGTTAAAATCCTCCCTATAGGGGTTGAGTCAAAGAACAACATAGGAGCCTTAAAGATAGCTGTAGTGAAACTAGAGAAGAAGGTTGTAGAAGCCTTTAATCCAAGAAGTGCAGTCAGGTAAGACCTTAGATATACAAAAGCAGCACCAACAAATGAAATTAAAGAGTAAACTCCAATCAAGGTGCCACTAGTTATTTTTGGAATTTCAATGGCTATAGCAAGCCAATATGTTGATGCAGTCTGCAAAGCAACAAAAGCAGATTGTCCTAACATGACCAAACACAGCATGAATAACCCCCTGGAAAAGGAAATATAATCCCAGAATGGCTTCCATCCAACGTTACCAATCACTTTTTCTTCTTCTTGTGTAAGCTGCACCCCAAGTTGACCCTTGGTAGAGATCTCACCCTCACTTTGATTTTTAGTGAGATGAAAACCATGAGACTCCTGTGGATGAGCCACAACCTCATTTTCAGATCCTCCTTTGTTTTCATTATTTTGATCCATCTCTGAAATTGTCTCTTTGTGGGCACTCACAAGTTGTTCAAAGGCTGTCCCAGCTGTCAGGAGATCCTCATAACTACCTGATTGAATAACTTTTCCACCCTCCATTACCTAGAATTTGAGTTATAATATTTCATATTAATTATGTTCTAATGTAATATATGTGTATATATTAGGCATCCAAATGAGATACTTTACCAGGATTTTATCAACTTCTGAGAGGAACTCCACTTGATGAGTCACTAGAATAACTGTTTTCTCTCTTAGAGCAGTCATGACACAGTCCTGTACGAAGTTTGATTCACTGAAGTGAGGCTGTGAGGGTAACAGTTTTATCAAAATTTAAGAATCTAAAAGTGATATCTTCTTACATTGAACAGAATAGCAGCAGTATGCGCATCAACTGCACTGAAAGGGTCATCAAGAAGATAGATATCAGCATCATTGTAGACTGCTCGAGCTAGTTGAATCCTTTGCTTTTGTCCTCCACTCATATTAATCCCTCGCTGACCTATTTCTGTGAGATCACCATGGCTAAAATCATGAATATCCTTATCCAAGGCACAAACTTTAATGGCATTCTCATATCTTGTTTTGTCCATCGGCTTGCCAAAGAGTATATTATCTTGAACCGTCCCACTTTGTATCCAAGAAGATTGAGAAACATAGGCTAGAGTGCCACCTACATTAACCTGCAAAAAAGGGTGTAAGATACTAAGATTATAACATGATAAAATAAAATAAAAAACTAAACATGTTCGGATAATAACTGAACTGTTCCTGAAGTCTTAGGAATCTCTCCAAGTATTGCATACAAAAGAGATGATTTTCCAGCTCCAACTGGTGCACAAACTGCTGTTTTCTGTCCCCATTTGATTTCTAAATTCACATTTCTTAAAGTTGGTGACACTGATTCCTGATCCCAAATGAAGTTGCCAGCTTGAATTTCCACAGCATTAACTGAACATTGCTTTATACTCCTTCCATTTTCATCATTACTTAGCTCATCATCAAACAAAAAGTTATTGAGACGATCAAAGGAGACCTTAACTTGCATCATAACAGATAGAGCCTCTGGGATCATTCGAACAGGTTCTCCCATGATCCTCAACGTTGCAAGAACTGTGAAAATGGTTCCAGCATTTAATGGTGCACTATTGAAAAGAGCACATCCGAGGAAAACAACAGAAGAAACAATGGTAGGGGACATCCAATAAAGAAATGATCCATAAGCTTTCAAGATCTGTGCCTTAGACAACCATTCGACCTCTTTAGCACGTAGGGACTCAACTAAGTTCATGAACTTATCCTCCCAGGATTGCAACTTAATGATTTTCATACTATTCAGAATTTCTGAAGTTGATCTCAGACGCTCATCCTGTGCAATCATGAATTGTGACTGACAATTTTGTAGAAACTTTGCAAATGGTACATTGAGAAGTCCACATATGAGAAGAGGGACTAAACCAGGAAGAGCACCAAGACCCACAACACCAAAAAGGACACCAATGGAGAGAAAAAGTTGCAATGCATAAGCCCATGTTACATGAAACCACCATGGAAATTCTCCCATTCTATATGCATCAACTGCAATGTAATTCGCAATTTCACCACTTGAGTGTCTTCTCCTAGCTGAGCTAGAAAGCTTTAGCTGTTTTTGATACACTGCCACCATTAGAGCTGATCTCATTTTCAACCCTGACCTCCTCGAATCAAAAAACCGATGTCTCTGGGACAAAGACTCAACCACTTTGGTCAGAATCAGAAAACCAAGTAGGGAAAGACCTTCTTTGGGATCTGCCTCAGTGCTATTAGAGTAGTTTACAAAAGCATAGAGCAATAGAGGAGAAACTACAACTGAAATAGTTCTAAGTAATGTGTAAAATGCTATTAATATGTTCTCATTTAAGTACATTCTAGCTACACACCAAAGAACCAAGTTTTTGGTATTGTTCTTGCTCCTCTCTCTTACAAGAAATTCCCATGTTTGCAAGAATTTTTTGTAGGCCGAGTCAGCTTCATCTTCAGAAACAAGAGAAGGGATGTCTTCAAGAGCTAGTGGCTTTGAGTAACCCTGAATGAGTAAAGAATTGACCCAAGAGAAAATCAACTTGCTGAGAAAAGTAGCATGGCCTAGTCCAGTTTTTTTGGTTTCAACTTTCTGAGCTAAAAGTGGCTCAGATAAACTTTCTGGGGTACTTTGAGTTACAAAATAACCAAGATTTTGGAAAGCACAGAAGAGAAGAAGGAAGTGTACAAGCCATTGTACGATATCAAAAGCTTCAATTGCATGCTCTTTAAACAGAATTTCAATGTTGAGAGCTGAAACCAACACACAAGAAGATGCCCACCAGATAGAGTTTGAAATTTTTATCCATTTGTGTCTCTGAACAAGCAAAGAAACTGTTAAAGAAACCCAAATGAATCCTCTGACAATGCAAGCTAACCAGCCCAGCTGCTCAGAGTTACCAGTTTTGACAATGAGATTCCACAATCCAATACTCAAAAACACAATGCCAATGAGAGCACAACAGATTGAGACAACTGGGAAAATCCAGTTTTTTATGTTGCTACCACTTCTGGAACTTTTTCTGATCAAACTGATAAGCAAAGAAGTGTAAAAGACACAGACAAAAAGTATATTTATAGTGTCTATTATGCTCCTTTGAGAACAGAAAGAAGCCAAATCAAAATCCTTCAGACAAATCCTTGAGAAATCCCCTGCATATCAAGTAAAGAGAAACAATCAAAGTTCATCATTTTTACACTTACATAGTTGGAAAAGTTAATAAAAAAACTCTGCATGAAATTCAATAAACAAAGAAATGATCTGCATGAACAATATATCATTATTGCTTATAAAATGAGAACTCATGATTTGTGAGATAAAAATTTAACTGACATATTATAGAAAAGCAAGATAGTACTCGCATAACTCACATAAGTGCACCTACTCGCCCTCACTAACAAAAGTAAAAAAGATAAACAAATTAAGTGTAGCATACTTATTGCATATCCAAAGTAAGCCATTTTTGGAGCTTGAAATTGAATGCTTTGTGCTTCTTTTGCAGCAAATCAACCTACTAAAAGGAGCACAATTTATTTTAAGAAGACTCACTGAAGAAGAACTTGACTTTATATTTTGTTTTCAAAATTTCTCCCAACATTAATTTACGTGCAAGTAATATTTAATAGATTTAAAAATTCTAAAGTCTGACAGTGAAACTATTACGTATAATAAGATGATTCAAGTCAAGTTTCTTATAGAAATATGTGACGAGTTGAATTTCTCTCTCGTTCACTCTTTTTTTTTTTTTGGTGAAATCGTTCACTCTTCTTTTGTTATTATTATTAATGTTTTTTTGCATGTGACTGGTGGTGTGGTGATGGATGAAATAGATATGAATTCATATTACATAAGGTCTTGTGAAAGGAATCAAAGGATCTATATCTTCAAAATATAAATTAACGGTGATAAAAAAAAAATACATTCAAATAAATGGTAAAAAAAATAATTCTTAATTTATATCTAAATAGCGGAGCTCCTATCATATGCTGATATGCATGTCAGCATCAGGTAATCTTTTCCCGTAATATACACCTCTTTTATTGCAGGCAAGCCTTTTGTAAGGATAATTTTCTTTTTAATAATAAAGTTCATGTTATGAAAATAGTAATAAATAGATAAATGGCAGAGAAGAAATAAAGAAAAAAAATATTATTTATTATTATTAAATATGTATATTGTATAAGTTATAAAACAAATATTTATAAAGTAAATAAAAAAAATTGCAATCAAATTTAAACTGAATATGATGTTTTATTATTAAATCCTAATCAAACGAAGATGATTAAATAATTCCTTATAATATCACATAGAATTTGTGTGTGTATATGTATATATATATATATATATGGATTCACTTTTTGTCATGTTGACAAGAGCATTTTCCTGCACACACAAATCAAGTGTGGGTCCCACATTTAAAAAAAAAATCAAGATACGGAACCGGATCCTTGTTGCAGGAATGAACAGTGTCATTCCTGCAACATGATTCTTATATTTTCATATATGGGAAAAGTGTGTATCATTTTAGGAGATAAAGTTGTGTCATTTTATAGTGTCGAGCAATATATTATATGATCTTTTGAGAACAGAGAATTGAAATCAAAATCCTTCATACAACAAACCCATGAACAATCCCCAGCATATCCAGCAAAGAGAAACAATCAAAGTTCATAACATTTTTTTTTTTACAAAAAACATTTCACATTTCAAATTAAGTTGGAGAATGTAATAAGAAACTGCCCATCCAATTCAATTACCAAAGCCAGAAGAGACATGATTTGCATGAACAAGATATCTTTATGGCATGAACTGTGAGATAAAAAAAACAAACATACTATATAAAAGTAAGATAATACTTGCATTTCATATTAGAGCAAAAGCAGATAATAATTGCATAACTCACTTAAGTACACCAAAGTAAGTGTAGCGTACTGCGTACCTATTGAATCTCCAAAGAAGGCCATTTTTGGAGCTTGGATTTGAATGGTTTGTGATCCTTTTGCAGCAGAACAGCCACGGGGAGCACAAGGTTTTTAAAAAGAGTACTCACAGAACAACTTGCCCTTTATACTTTTAACAACATTATTATTACTCCCCTTTTTTAACATCTTGCCTATTAACTCTTGGCGCATGATAGGCCTCTTTCGTTGTGTGGTCATTCATTTTTTTGTTTCTTGATAACATTAATGACATTTTTTTTATTTAACGCGGATGGAATAGAAATTTAGGTGGATCATTGTGATGTACGAACACATAGGCGGAGCCGTAGTCAAACTTGCTATCACAGATATTCCAAATATCGAAGGAGAAAGGTTCAGATGTATGGGTGATTGTTCTCAAATTCATCAATTTTTTTATCTTATACTATATTCATAAAATTAAATTAAATAGTGTAATTTAATCTTGCTCTCCTGCCTTATTATTTCTCATTTATGAAAATTTTTTATAGAGTTTTTAAAATCTGATTATTTAAATTTGTGTAAATTTTGAAATTTTGTTTGCCTCTCTCATAATTTTATGAAATTATGGCTCTGCAATTTAATATACTTGCTTACTAAGTCGTGCATGTACAATATGTGGACTACATTACATTTTATGTTATCCTTACGTCAAAATTCAATTTTTTCCCCGTAATTTTTTATATTTTATATAAGAATCGGCCTTTTGGGGAAAGTTTCTTGGAACTTTCAGGTATCCGGTTTCATTTTTGGTAAGCTCCTGTTTCTCTCTAATAACTAATTTCCAAGAAACTATCCCTATGACCACATCTAATTGTTTTTTTCCAAAAGAAAAAACATGGAAACATGGGTGAGAGAGAAATCAACTTCCCAAGGCCAAAAAAAAGTATAATTAAAAATATTAATATTATAAAATTAAAGTTAAAAAAGAAAACTTATTTCGTTAAAAAATTCCAGTAGCATAAGATTAAATTGGAGTAGAGGAAAAAAAAGATATTTTATTTGTTTTGGAAAAAATAGTGAGAAAACAAGACTACAAATAAAATCTATTATCATATTCCAACCGCCTCTTCTCCCATTCATTTTCAATCCATGTCACCTCCTCCTTCTTCTCTCTTTGCAAATTCAGTTCTCATCGTCAAAATAATTTTCATAATTTTTTGTTAAAATAGTAATATTTTAATTTTTTTTAACCTCCATAAACCTGCTGATCTTCTGAATAAAATATAGATTACAAAGTAAAAATATTTAAATAAGATTTTAGTATATGTAACTTTTATTTATTTAAATTTAAGATTTTGTACTTTTATATTAAGCTTTATACTTCAACTCATTTAAATTTTAGTCCGATCGTTAAAGTAAATTATTTTTTGTATTATTTACTCATTAAGGTGCTACATTTTATTTTGTATTAAGCGTTAGTTTTTTAAGTTTTCACATATTAAGATATTAGTTATTGAGAAAATAAAACTTAAATAAATAAAAATATATGGAATGATATTTTAAAAGTTATAAAAATCTAAATCCAAGTAAGTAGAAAAATATAGGAACCAAAAACATTATTTAAAGTGAAGTTTAACTTTTTGAATTTTGGTTCAGATGATATAATAAGTTGTAGATATTAATTACTCTTAATATATTAGATATTTTTGAGACCTCTCCAATTTAGTGTCATCAAATTCAGACCAGCCGCCGCCGTTCAATAAGTCACCAATTCAATAAGTAGGTTACGAGTCAACCACTTGAATTATATATATTCTTTTGATGACACAGCAAGACTACAATTTTCACAAACTTCTGATGACATAGAAATTTGAGGAAGGTCGGTCACCATATTTTTTTGTTGGAGTGTTTTCAATCCTCCAAAATTGAGATGCCCATATCGAAAATGCCATAGTCATGCTACATCCTTCAATCTTGCATAAAAACATGAATGGCCAATATTGCGAAGAATTAACAGAAACATTCGGTTTCTCGTCATGTTGACTTTAGCAATTAATCCCAGCTTTGCATTTTGAATTCGACATACTCCACCTTTTATAGAAATCTCATACCCTTTCTCTTGTGCAGCTGTCCCACACTAAGCAAGTTGGTTTTCAAATCTGGAACAAATAGAACGTTAGAAATAGTGTGGGTGGAGTTTTCTATGGTATGAAGAGTGACCTTTCCTTTTCCCATGACAGATATTGTGGAGTTGTCACCAAACTTGACGGTATTGCAGAAAGATTCATCTAACTCTGAAAATTCCTTTTTATCTCCACACATGTGGTTACTGCAGCTAGTGTCTAAATATCACAAGTTTTGCTGAGTTTTTTCATTTACATGGCACACCATCAAAAGAGATACTTCTTCTTCCCCTTCTTTCTTTTTATGCAAAGTTAGTACTTTCTCCATGTTAGAGTCTCTTTATTTTTGTCTGTTAGAAATTTAATGGTCTTTTAAGTTGATGTAACGGCCATGTGGTGGCTGCACTAAAGTTGTTTGATGAGTCTTAACGGTTATAATGGGTCAGTTTTGCGTAATATAATGAGTCATTAAGTTAGTATTTATTTGGGTGTAATGTGACTCTTAATTGTTATGTTTTTCAGTTTTAGTTTCTGACTTATATTAGGTTTGGGTCAGTTTATGAAATATGTAATCCCCTCTTCAAATATTGTGAGTAATATTTCTGCATCTTATTTTATTTTATCAGTTGTATCAAGAGCCGATTTTTTTATGAGTTAAACACGTGAGAGAGTAGAGTTGTAAAAAGCGTCATGGTCGTCAATTTGGGTGTCGATTTGGGTTTTGTTTCAAGCGTTACGCTCAGAATTTGAAACACTTCGAATGAAGTCGGGAGAATCAATTGTAGACTATTTCTCTCGCGTGATGACTATTGTCAACAAGATGAGAATCCATGGCGACAGGACAGAAGAAATCATTGTGATTGAAAAAATACTTCGATCCTTAACACCAAAATTTAATTTTGTTGTTTGTGCTATAGAAGAATCTAAAAATATTGATGACCTTTCACTTGATGAATTGCAAAGCTTGTTGTTGGTGCATGAGCAAAAGTTCAAACAGGAGGATGCTGATGATCATGCATTGAAGGCATCAACAGAAAATCACACAGCAAGAGGGGGAGGCAGAAGCCGAGGAAGGGGAAGAGGTCAAGGAAGAGGAAATAGAGATCGTAGCAACCAACAACAGTTCCATGGTAATTATTCCCATCAAGATTCTCGAGGACGAGGACGAGGAGGCCACTATTCGACTAGTTATAGACCAAAGTCTGCAGACAAGTCAAATGTTGAATGCTAAGTCAAATGTTGAATGCTACAAATGTCATAGTGTCGCAACTGTATCGCAACGTGACGGCGAAAGAGATTGAACGATTAAAACAATGAAGTCGCCACCCTACACCGTCCGTTTAAAACAGCCAAAGTTTATTTAGGAAAACAATGGAAAAACCTTTTTTGTTTGAAAACTGGTCTTTGGAATAGAAAAATGGATTCGGGAGTCGATTACGAGTAAGGAAGGTGTTAGCACCCTACACCGTCCGTTTAAAAAACGGTTACATTATATTAATTGTGCAAATTATTGATAAGATTTTAATATTTTATTTTACCCTCAGAATAAAATTGATTAAAGAAAAATAAAACTAATTTTGGTAAATTTATATTTGTGCTTGACGGGTGGGTCCCGCTCTGACGTATCTTAGTACAATAGGGAACTCAAAGCTACGTCGTTCTGTAGAAAATATTTGTGTGTTGATTGATTTTATTTTTGAAAGTAATTTTAACGAAAATCATTTGAAAGTTTTAGATTTGATGGTTTCGGATTATCAAAGAAAATATTTGTGTGTTGATTGATTTTATTTTTGAAAGTAATTTTAACGAAAATCATTTGAAAGTTTTAGATTTGATGGTTTCGGATTATCAAACTATCACAGTTATAATAATCCGAAATGATAATTGGAGGATTAACAAGCTGTCTCAACTCAGCTAATCCTTTTTTTTAGTAAATTTCATGTTATTACTTTTGTTATTGTATTTTGAATCACCAAGCAGTCACGGTTAAAATGATTCAAAATGTTACGGGATTAACGAACCGTCACAGTTAAATTATCCCCTGAGAATGGATGACCATATATATCAACGTCGTACATCGCTGCTAGGATACTTTAGAAAATATCTAAAGGCATGGATAAATAAATTTAATTTTTTGAATCTTAAGAGAAAATATTTTTATTTAGAAAATGAATCCACATTTGCACCGGATATAAGATAGCATAGTTATACGTGTACCCATATGATAAGTACAACACTTGAAGATGGAGAACCATACATCAACGTTATAAATCATTGCGTGAATTAAAACAAAGTTATTTGTCATTTACTTTGTTTATATTTTGATAAATATTAAAAAAAATATTATACGGATAAATAAACAAACGGTAACAAACAGAGAAAGAATTTTTACGTTTTTTTAATTTAAAAAAATTTCCTACTAAACATTGAAACAAAGTTCACAAATGAACATAAGACCACCTCAAGTAACGTATCTGTTCTTTTACTTTTAAATTTTTTTTTGTTATTTTTCTTATTATTATTTACTTTCATCCTAATAATTTATTAACCTTTTTAGTTTTCAACATCATAAAAGGGGTACCTATCCTTAGAGGTGGCAAAGCAGGCTGTCCGCCCCGCCCCAGTCCGCCAAAAGCTCGTCAAAAAATGAGTTGGCTCGTCCCGTCCTGTCATCGAAAATGGACTAGATATCTCAACCTGCCAAGTCCGTGACATTTTACACTAAAAATTAAAAAAAAAAAATATTCAACCCAGGCAAGCTGGCAGACTTGGCGGGCAGCGAGTCTGAGAAACTCAGCCGCCCCATCTCATTTAACGAGCGGAACAGGCCGACTCAACGGACTGAGCGGATTTTGCCAGCTCTACGTATCCTAGTCCATGAATAGAAAGCTGCTCATGACCTTGATTTTTTGTTGTCTTTGTATTAAAAAATAAATAAAAATAAAACCTAAAAGTCTAATCCTATAAACTATTAGCATGGCTATAAAAAAGAACTCGAAATCAGCAAGTACAACTTGCCATTAATACCCATTATTAAATGAATTTAAAACAAAAGATAGTTATAAAGAACGGAAAAGAAAACTCACAGAGAAAGGAATACCCTTTACACAAGCGAAGGAGAAGAAATGCATACGAATGGAAAAAGCTCATAGACTTGTGAGACATGAGAGAAGTCGTGGGACACTCAAGGCTAATTCCTAGTCACTGCCACGGCTTGGTGGCATGCTGGTCGATATGCAAATGCAAGGTTGGCTTGAGTTGCAATGGAGGTGAGCCTGTGGTGTGATGGTCAGTACTGGTCAGTGTTTGATGGCTTTGAAAGTTGTTAGTTATGGGTTTATGGATTTATTTGTGGAGAACAACGATTTTGGATTTGAAGGATCTTTATGTTCAAACATGTTTAGGATTTCTCTCTATTTTCTCTCCTTTGTATTTGAGATTTTTTTTTTGTAAACCCGAAGCTAAAGAAAAAAAAGGGATCCATTATGTTTTGCATTTCTGGTTTTTATAGATGACGAATAGGAAGAGATTTCCTGATGTTATATGGTGGGTAATAGATAAAAGGGTATTCTTTTTTTTTTTTGGAGGTATAAAAGGGTATTCTTTGATGTATTGGAGGGGTACCATATTCAAACCATATGAACATCTCTTGGGGGATAGTGACCAAAATGTCACGCTTTGGCAAAAAAATTATCACAATGTCACGCGAACAGTAAAATTTCTCAAACTGACACGCGGTATAATTCGGTACACAGTGTAGCGAATTATGTATGCAAGTAATTCGCTACACAATGTAGCGAAATATGCCACGTGACAGTTTGAGAAATTTTACTGTTCGCGTGACATTCTGGTGATTTTTTTGGAAAAGTGTGACAAAATGATCAGTGTTCCCATCCAGCCTCTTATTTTTGGTTTCTGTTTTTTTTTTTTTTTGTTCCCACACGTAAATATGGTTCCTTGCAACAGTACCCAACCTCCGTTGCAGAAGTTACATGAGTGATGGGATTTTTATTTTATTTTTTTATTTTAAATTTATACCTCTGGACAAAATATGTTGTCTACACATAGGTATGACCATATTGCAATAGAATGTAGAACTTATATGAATGACAAAAATAAAGAGACTCTAACGGTTCAAAGATTTAATTTGATGCCTAGAAGTAGAAAGAAACAACTTTCCGTTTAAATTCTATTGCAGCGATGTAATCTACAAAGCTATTGGCGAAGAAAAACAACTTTTATCAATTCTACTCTCTCATTACACTGCAAGAAAACTTCAATTATATATGCATGAATGTTACAATGGGGAATTTTGAGGGATTAGTCTCATACTTGTGGGGGTGCTGATTCAAAAAAATACAATTAATAATTAGAATTTAAAAACTATAAATTAAAATAGAAATATTGTTTAAAAATATATCAAAATATGCGTAATTAATGCAAAGAATTCGAATTTAAATAAAAAAATGACATATATAATTTTCTAAAAGACAGTAAATTTAAAAGGAAATAATTTACTTTTAAAATAATAAAATCGAATTTAATATTTCATAATGAATAAGCCTTGCTCTCAATAAACATTTTTCTCCTAAGGAGATGGTCCGCCCAAAATTCTTCTTGTTTTGATCCTCTTTATTTTTAAAGCATGCGTAACGACATTATGTGATTGATGGATAGGGTAAAAAATAAAAAATAAAAAATAATCTGTTTTTAAATTAAATATTTTTCAGCTTAAAATTTGTCGATGCATATATAATAAAATAATTTGTGAGTTTGGAAATCTTAAATTTCATTCATTTAAGTAAACGAGTTTATTTTATAGTGCATCCATGCGGAAAACCGCACTGATGCTACGCTAGTCATATATTAAATACTTCACATTTAGAATCATATTTCAGACGACACGTGCATATAATAAATTTTGTTAGCCAGAAGCAATTGTATTTGAAGTTTCCATCTTCTCTTCATGTTCTTAATTTTGTTCTTTTAATAAATAACTAAACAAAATATATCTCTTTATTATTTTGCAATATAAGACAAAATAATGCAATTCCAAAGGTTGGATTGTACAAAGAACATACATTTAAAATTTGAAGGACTTAAATTTTCTCGCATGATGGTTTTCATGTCAATCATTTTCCTTCAATTTATATGGTGATCTTCCTTTCCAGTGTTATTATTCATTGTTGCTGCCTGCTAATTAGGGGTATAAATGAGTCAGGTTAGGCTTTCCTGGCTTAAGCCTACGTAAAAAAATATTCAGCCTATCTGCCTATTGGCCTATTAAAGGCTTTGTTTATAGGCCAGACCTGGCTTATTTTACAAAAGGGAAAAGTTCACCAATGCCTCTGTGATTTTTTTCTTATCACATATGCCTCTGTGGTTTGTAAAAAGGTATGTTTTTTTATCGCATATGCCCCTGTGGTTTTTTATTTTTTACAAAGCACACGAGTATATGTGATAAAAAAAAACCACAGGGACATAGATGATTTTGAAGCAAACCACATGGCATTGGTGAACTTTTCCCTTTTAAAAAATAGAAAGTCTGATATAGCCTACAGGCCTTGTAGGCCTCCCACCGTAGATACTAAGCAAAAAAAATAATTATGTAGTATATAGAGTAAAGAAAGTTTCATTCATGCATGCACTAATACTTCTCATAAGAAATAAAAAATGTTAAATAAGAAAGAGTCAACATAATACCCCAGCTCTAGAATGTATATCAGGGAGGAATTAGAGTCAAAGAAATGAGAAAAATCAAGAAAGAAATACAATTATTGGGTCAGCCAAAGACGAAACTTAGAGACGAGAGTGAAAAATCACCTAGAAGCAGCGGTGCTCAAAAGAAATTAGGGTTGATACTTTGCCACCTAGAATAAATATATTATATTATTTAAAAAAATTTAAATAGGCCAGCCTACGAGGCTTTAGGCCAGGCTTGACAAAGATGGTCTATGGCTTATTTGTTAAAAGACTTTCTTATAAACCTTAGCCTATACTATTTTGCAGAAAGGCCAGGTCAGACCAGGCTCAACGTAGGTCGGGCTGTAGGTCAGGCTAAGGCTAGTCAGGCCCATTTACACCCTTACTGGCTACTCCTAATGTTTTGGGAGGAATTCTTCCTGCAGCTAGACCAATAGTCAGCAACCAGCTTAGAGAATGAAGAATTGGTTTCCATTAGCTTTGAAGGCTCATCATATTCCAACATTTTCCCTTTATTCACCGGCCAAAAAAAAATGAGGAAAGACACAGAATTAGACAAAGAAGTAGTGTATTTGACAAAAAGGAAAAAATTGAAAAGAAGAAGTAATTAACATACCATAAGACAGGACCATGACCATGTCACTATCTATTACAGTTGGAACTCTATGAGCCACGGTTATAACTGTGCATTGTGCAAATTCTTGTCTAATTATTCTTTGTAGAATAGCATCTGTGGCAGAGTCAATGGAGGCAGTAGCTTCATCCAGAACAAGAATTCTGTTCCTCTTAAGTAGTACTCTTCCAAGACAAAACAGTTGGCGTTGTCCCAAGCTCCAATTTCCACCTTCATCACTCACTGTAATTAAAACTAGTCAGAACTAAACTTCAATAGCTAATTTGTTCCAAAATCTTGATATTGAAATAGCTAATTTTGTATTTAGGTTCAATAGCCAGAAGTTACTGCTATATCAGATTTGTTGCGTAAAGTTTGTGAAGTTAGCTCACCTGAAGAGTCCAAGAGACTTGGTAGACTGCTAATTGTTTCCTTAAGCTGACATTTCTCTAAAGCCTGTATACAAATATTGAATCTAATCAAAACTTTGCATATTGAAAAACTCATGTAGAAGAAAATGGTATTCAAATGTAACATAATTTTCAATTGGGGGGCTAGTTCATTCACCTTCCATATTTCATCATCTGAGTACAGGCCTAGAGGGTCCAAGTTGGTTCTAATGCTGCCCTTGAAAAGAGTTGGTTCTTGAGGTATGATGCTTAGATTTGTTCTCAAATCCTTCAACCCCATTGAGCCTATGTTAATCCCATCTATAAGAATATCACCTCTTGCAGGCTCAACTAAGCGAAACAAAGCACTTATAAGGGTACTTTTTCCACTTCCAGTCCTTCCTACAACTCCCACTCTACTCCCTTCTTTGAATGTACAAGTGATACCCTTAAGAACTAATGGAGCATTTGGACGATATCTAATCTGAAAACATGTAGAAAAACAGTTATCAGACTAATTTTTCTGTCCAATTTGTCAGAAATAAAAAAAGTTGAGGTGAAAAAAAGACAAAGATGTAACTTTACCTCTAAGGCTTGAAGATCAATCCTACCCTTAGAAGGCCATGAAGATGGAGGCCTTTTATCCTCCACAATGGCAGGTGGCTCGGCTGGTATGTTAATGAATTGTTTGATTCTTTCAACTGAGATAATATAGTTTGAGAAGTTGCAAAACCATCTAGTCCAAAATACTTGGGATGCTGTCAATGTGAAAGCATAAGAAAGAGAAAGTCCTACAAGGCCTGCACAGACAAGGAGAATTGCCAAGAACTATTAGCATGAACAAAAGCTTTGCCATGGTAACCTTTTATGTAATATTACCTGGGGACACGTATCCCTGAGGGAGTAGAATAATTAACAAAGCTGCAGTGAAGACTGTCAAATTTTGAAGTACTTCAATTCTTAAAATTAACCATTCCATGGTCACATTAGAATGAAAGAACAGTGCTGCATCTGTGTCCACCAGCTTTAGGTAATTTTTGAAAAATCTGTCCACCATGTTGAATGCTCTTACAGTAACCACTCCAAGTGATGTCTCAGCTGCAAAATTCATGACTGGAGCTTTTGTGGTTCCATTGATCCTTATTAGTTCCCTTGCAGAGGCTTGATAATATCCCTTTTAGAGAAAAATAAGAGAGAGAGGGAGAGAGACTAAGAACTTGCTAGCTCCATGATCTAAGCAGGGATGGAGAATGGAAAATCAAGAAAAATCAGAAAGTGGACAAACCTGAATATATTTTGATGCAATCATTGCAGGAACAGCAACAATGAGAACTTGCCATGTGACTGAAACCATTACACAAATTGTCACCAGAATTTCAATTGCCACAGACAATACAAAAGTCATGGAATAAGGTATATCAAAGTCCAAAATACTCAAATCTGAAGAAGCCTGCAAGAGAGGAAAAAATTGACATAAATATGGGGGATGATTAAATAGTAATGAATATGAGAAGGAAATTATATAGGTTCTTTTATTTTTTTTCCCAGTGGGAGTGAAGAAATCTTACTCGGGTTAAAATCCTCCCTATAGGGGTTGAGTCAAAGAACAACATAGGAGCCTTAAAGATAGCTGTAGTGAAACTAGAGAAGAAGGTTGTAGAAGCCTTTAATCCAAGAAGTGCAGTCAGGTAAGACCTTAGATATACAAAAGCAGCACCAACAAATGAAATTAAAGAGTAAACTCCAATCAAGGTGCCACTAGTTATTTTTGGAATTTCAATGGCTATAGCAAGCCAATATGTTGATGCAGTCTGCAAAGCAACAAAAGCAGATTGTCCTAACATGACCAAACACAGCATGAATAACCCCCTGGAAAAGGAAATATAATCCCAGAATGGCTTCCATCCAACGTTACCAATCACTTTTTCTTCTTCTTGTGTAAGCTGCACCCCAAGTTGACCCTTGGTAGAGATCTCACCCTCACTTTGATTTTTAGTGAGATGAAAACCATGAGACTCCTGTGGATGAGCCACAACCTCATTTTCAGATCCTCCTTTGTTTTCATTATTTTGATCCATCTCTGAAATTGTCTCTTTGTGGGCACTCACAAGTTGTTCAAAGGCTGTCCCAGCTGTCAGGAGATCCTCATAACTACCTGATTGAATAACTTTTCCACCCTCCATTACCTAGAATTTGAGTTATAATATTTCATATTAATTATGTTCTAATGTAATATATGTGTATATATTCGGCATCCAAATGAGATACTTTACCAGGATTTTATCAACTTCTGAGAGGAACTCCACTTGATGAGTCACTAGAATAACTGTTTTCTCTCTTAGAGCCGTCATGACACAGTCCTGTAAGTAGGTAAATGTAAGAAGTTTGATTCACTGGAGTGAAGCTATGAGGGTAACAGTTTTATCAAAATTTAAGAATCTAAAAGTGATATCTTCTTACATTGAACAGAATAGCAGCAGTATGCGCATCAACTGCACTGAAAGGGTCATCAAGAAGATAGATATCAGCATCATTGTAGACTGCTCGAGCTAGTTGAATCCTTTGCTTTTGTCCTCCACTCATGTTAATCCCTCGCTGACCTATTTCTGTGAGATCACCATGGCTAAAATCATGAATATCCTTATCCAAGGCACAGACTTTAATGGCATTCTCATATCTTGTTTTGTCCATTGGCTTGCCAAAGAGTATATTATCTTGAACCGTTCCACTTTGTATCCAAGAAGATTGAGAAACATAGGCTAGAGTGCCACCTACATTAACCTGCAAAAAAGGGTGTAAGATACTAAGATTATAACATGATAATTGGTTCTTTACATTAAAGAACCAATTCGACCCAAAAGCTTAAGCTGTTGGGTGAGGTTACATTAATGGTTTTATATATCTCAACAATGATAAAAAAGAAAAAGAAAAAACTAAACATGTTCGGATAATAACTCAACTGTTCCTGAAGTCTTGGGAATCTCTCCAAGTATTGCATACAAAAGAGATGATTTGCCAGCTCCAACTGGTCCACAAACTGCTGTTTTCTGTCCCCATTTGATTTCTAAATTCACATTTCTTAAAGTTGGTGACACTGATTCCTGATCCCAAATGAAGTTGCCAGCTTGAATTTCCACAGCATTAACTGAACATTGCTTTATATTCCTTCCATTTTCAT